ATGGGCCCAGCACGCTCCCGCTGCGCCACTCTGCTCAGTGGGAGAAAGGGATCTTCTCTGGCTTGTCAGCCTTTTTGTCACTAAGCAACATCCAAGCAGAAAGCTCAGGCCAAAAGAGCTGATATATCAGCAATAAAGCCAGATCTCTGTGGCTCAGTGAGTCAGTATGTCTGGCTGCTAATCAGAAGGATGCTAGTTCTAGCCCAACCAGGGACAGCTGTGGGTACATTTTGCTTCTGAAAAGATGGCTGCGTGGTGAAAGTGAAGAATGGCTAATACATTGTGCTCTGGACACATAGGTCCAAATTCTACCTTTTCCCCTTTGGATGGAAGACCTAGATTCAAAACACTTGCTTCTTTTATATTTCTTTTTCAGAACATAAGAACATTCCTTTGGAACCATGTTTTCCTTTAAAAGAAACAACACCCATTGCACAGATCATTAACTGTAGGCTGGCTGGTGAGTGGAGAGAGACTCCACAATGTTACCCTAAAAGATGGGGAGGAGGTGTTGTGGCTCTACACCAACAGTGCCAGAGTCTCTTTGAAAGTTTGGGGAAATTACAGCTCAACAGGAGTTCTGTGAGGGGAGGGTAACTTCAAGAATCCTTTCATCCATGTATACCAGCATTATCCCCAGAGAGGGCTGTACTTTGAACTATTGATTCTTTTGTGTCACTGAAAGTGACAAGGAAGCCATCAAGGGAACAACAGCTTTCCCTCTCCCTCCTGGTCAGTGTACAGTACTTTGACCATCTGGCCCATGCTGGATTTCTCTTCATTTATTTAGTTATTTGTCTTCAAATCTAGCCAGTATATCTGATGTAAGTGGACCAGTAAATCCACCTATGGCTGAGCTTTAAAGGTTCTCTTCAAGGGGCTGGCCTGGAACAATTATTAAATAAAGTCAAAGAAGAAAGTGCTAAGATAGACTTAATGCCAAACATTAAGAAAACAAAAATAACAACCACAGAGGATATACATGAATTCATCGTAGACAAGAAAATCAAAATGATCAAAGATCAAGCATTGCTCAGAACAGTCAAAGAAATCAAAAGAATACTAGGACTGGGAAGAGCAGCTATATAAGAACTAGACAAGATCCTGAAGTGCAAAGATATAACACTGAACACTAAAGTATGCAAAGGGATCTTGTGGCACCTTTGAGACTAACTGAAAGAAAGCAGTTGGTAGCATGAGTTTTCATAGACTTGAACCTACTTCCTCAGATGCATGAGGAAATAGACTCAAGTATGCAACAGCACATGCTGCCAACTGCTTTCTTTCAGTTATTCTCAAAACTTCTACAAGATGCCTTAGCATACTGATTTTCCAAATTAACACAGCTACGTCTTTGAATTCTACTGAACAGTAAACTTAGGATTATCCTAGCCATTGTATTTCCCACACCATGTATGGATGTGAGAGCTGGACAGTGAAGAAAGTGGATATGAAGAAAATAAACTCATTTGAGATGTGGTATTGGAGAAGAGTGCTGAGGATACTGTGGACAGCCAAAAAGACAAACAAATGGGTCCTCAAAAAAAAAATCAAGTCAGAACTGCCCCCTTGAAGCAAAGATGGTTAAATTGAGGCTGCCCTACTTTGGCCACATCATGAGAAAGCATGAATGATCAGAAAAGACAATAATGCTAGGAAAAGTAGAAGGCAATCGATATGAGAGGGAGACCACATGGTTAGACTTGATCAGGGAGGTCAGGTCACCTGCAGGACCTGAGGAGAGCAGTGGAGGACAGGCGGCTTGGCAATGTCTCATCCACACAGTCGCCTTGAGAAGCCAACTCAAGGCAGTTAAAAGCAACAACAACAACCAAGAGGCTGAACCTACTTGGTAGTGAGTAAGTTCAGCACTGTGGACAGCTCCTAGCAGGAGGCAGAGGTGGCACCAAAGCACAAGAAGAGGACAAAGAGACTGGAGGC